TTTTTTCATGTGTCGGTTGGCCATCTGGATGTCATCTTTGGAGAAGTGTGTATTCATGTCTTTTGCCCATTTCTTCACTGGATTATTTGTTTTTTGGGTGTTGAGTTTGATAAGTTCTTTCTAGATTTTGGATACTAACCCTTTATCTGATATATCATTTGCAAATATCTTCTCCCATTCCATAGATTGCCTTTTAGTTTTGCTGATTGTTTCCTTCACTGTGCAGAAGCTTTTTATTTTGATGAGGTCCCAAGAGTTCATTTTTGCTTTTGTGTCCCTTGCCTCCAGAGACGTGTTGAGTAAAGTTGCTGCAGCTGAGGTCAAAAGGTTTTTGCCTGCCTTCTCCTCTAGGATTTTGATGGCTTCCTATCTTACATTTAGATCTTTCACCCATTTTCAGTTTATTTTTGCGTATGGTGTAAGAAAGTGTTCCAGGTTCATTTTTCTGCATGTTGCTGTCCAGTTTTCCCAGCACCGCTTGCTGAAGAGACTATCTTTATTCCATTGGATATTCTTTCCTGCTTTGTCAAAGATTAGTTGACCATACGTTTGTGGGTCAATTTCTGGGTTCTCTATTCTGTTCCATTGATCTGAGTGCCTGTTTTTGTGCCAGTACCATACTGTCTTGAAGATGCCATGTTTTAAAATGGACTTGTTTGATAAAGAAATACTACCTTTGGTAATTGCAATGTTGGGTTTTTCTTGTCTAAATATACCTGATTTTTTGGGAGGCAGCTGAGTGGCTGAATCAGTTGAATGTCCAACTTCAGTTCAGGTCAGAATCTCATGTTTCATGAGTTCGAGCCCTGCATCAGGCTTGCTGCTGTCAGTGCAGAGCCCTCTTCGAATCCTCTGTTCCCCCCCTCCCCCCCATCTTCTCTCTCTCTCTCAAAAAAATAAACATATAAAAAAATGTTTTTTTGGGGCGCCTGGGTGGCGCAGTCGGTTAAGCGTCCGACTTCAGCCAGGTCACGATCTCGCGGTCCGTGAGTTCGAGCCCCGCATCAGGCTCTGGGCTGATGGCTCAGAGCCTGGAGCCTGTTTCCGATTCTGTGTCTCCCTCTCTCTCTGACCCTCCCCCGTTCATGCTCTGGCTCTCTCTGTCCCAAAAATAAATAAACGTTGAAAAAAAAAAAAAATGTTTTTTTGAGAGACAGAGCATGAGTGGGGGAGGGGCTGAGAGAGGGAAACACAGAATCTGAAGCAGGCTCCAGGCTCCGGGCTGTCAGCACAGAGCCTGACGTGGGGCTTGAGCTCACAAACTGTGAGATCATGACCTGAGCCCGTTGAACATTTAACTGACCAAGCCACCCAGGCACCCCTAAAAAAAATATTTTTAAATAAATATGCTTGATGTTTTTCAGGTAAGCTCTTTTAACATCCCCAGTTTTCTTTTACTCTGGGCCTTTATTAGTACGTGTTGTATAATCACAGACCCAGACCAATAGAAAATTTACGTAGTGTGAATAACCTGGATGATTGGAGATGGAGCTAACTCTTCTAGATTTCAAATATGAGGTTAGACAAACATAAGTTCGGAAGTGAAGACATAAAAAGGAGTGAGGTAACCATCTTTTTTTTTTTTTTTTTTTTTTTTTTTTTTTTTTTTTTTTTTTTTTTTTTTTTTGGACTGTTTGCCATCACTTTCCACTTCTGCAACCCCATGCCACTTTCTCACACAAATACACACACTTGTCCAGGAGGGAGATGGGAAAAGAGTAAACTGCTTAATTTTTTTGTACTTACCCTAATTAGAGAGTCTTTAGCACATATCCATGATACAAGTAGATAAAGAACTCCTTGATGAAATCATTTCAAAACATCTTTTTTTTTTTGGAGTTTTTATTTATTTATTTTTGCCATATACCAAAAAGCATAGTGTCCTGTGTTTGAATTATTGTCATTAATTTGTAATTTAGCATTCTGTTAATATCAGTGAAGAGTGCGCAGTAGGGGGCACTCAAGACTATTGGGTTGCATAGTTCCTTAGGGTTTTTTATTTTTGTTTTTTTAACAAATATTTTTGATTTTCTGACTAAATAACTAATCTAAACAGTGGAATACTATGCAGTGCTTAAGAAGAGTAATGTAAATATATAATGTAATGTAGTAGAGTAATGTAAATGTAGACATACTAGCACAGAACAAGATATATCCAGATATATGATTAAGTGAAAACATTCACGTCACGTTATAATATATTTTATGTGATCCCACTTTTGAGAAAAATAAAAATTATATATGTGCATTTATATTTACATGGACAAAAAGATCTGAAAGGATCAAAATGGTCATAATGACTACTTCTAGAAGTAGGATTTTGTAGGGCTGTGGACATACTTTCCCCTCTTACTTTATAAATTCTTCTTTGCTTGATTTTTAATTTCCAAGTTTCTATGTATAGAATCATGTGTGACCTTTGACAATAAATACATTTCACTGGGCGCCTGGGTGGCTCAGGTGGTTGAGTGACTTCGGCTCAGGTCATGATCTCAAGGTTCATGGGTTTGAGCCCCAGTCGGGCTTTGTGCTAATGGTACAGAGCCTGCTTCAGATTCTCCATGTCCCTTTCTCCCTGCCCCTTCCTCACTTTCGCAGGAGTACGCTTTCTTTCTCTCTCTCAAAAATAAACATCACAAAAAAATTTAAGGGGCACCTGGGTGGCTTAGTTGGTTGACCGTCCGACTTCAGCCCAGGTCATGATCTTGCAGTTCATGTGTTTGAAAATCATGATCTTGCAGTTGGTGAGTTTGAGCCCCACATTAGCGCAGAGCCCACCTCGGATCCTCTGTCTCTCTTTCTGCCCCTCTCTTTCCTTGTGTGTGCTTGCTCTCTCTCTCTCTCTCTCTCAAAAACATTAAAAAAATTTTTTTTAAATATATTTCACAATTTTTTTAAAGTTTATTTTTATTTTAGAGAGCGAGAGAGCAAGAGCATGAGCAGGGGAAGGGCAGAGAGAGAGGGAGAGAGGGAATACCAAGCAGGCTGTGCACTGTCAGCATGGAGCCTGACGCGGGCCTCAAACTGACAAACCACAAGATCATGACCTGAGCCAAGATCAAGAGTCGAATGCGTAACTGATTGAGCCCCCCAGGCACCCCTACATTTCACAATTTTAAGTTATATATGTTTTCTATTAAAAGTTTTAAGCTTTCTAAGTAGAAGGTAAGTAAATTATCTATTACCCAGAGATGATTATTGTTGAGTTTGGTATACATATTTTTCCAAACTTACCCTTTCTCTATATATGTATATGGACATATTTTTTTTTATTTTAAGGTTTTTTAAAATTTAGTTTTTAATGTTTGTTTATTTTTGAGAGAGAGACAGAGCATGAGTGAGGGAGGAGCAGAGAGAGAGGGAGACACAGAATCTGAAACAGGCTCCAGGCTCTGAGCTGTCAGCACAGATCCCTACATGGGGCTTGAACTCACAAACAGTGAGATCATGACCTGAGCTATAATTGGCCACTTAACCTATTGAGCCACCCATGGGCCCCTAAGATTTTGTTTAAAAGTGGGGCTCAGACTCACAACCCCTGTATCAAGAGTTGCATGCTCTATGGAAAGAGCCTAAATGTCCATCAACTGATGAATGGATAA